ATGTATACAGATTATCTTCCTAAAAGGCGATAGATGCTGTTATCTGAGAACGATGACAGATTTGCACCTCTCCTATTACACCCTCTCTTCTTTCCCAGTTTATTTACATTCCTAACCGCATACACGTAATTACACTTATCACACTACAGAAGTGAATTGGACATTTACACAGTGATGTATTCCCATTCAAAGGGCAATAAGGCTGTTGTAGATCAGGAACGGTTCTCCTGTTTGCAGTCAGACACAATCTACTGCAACACTGGATTTTAGTTCTCTCTCCAGTCTGTCTTAGAAAGTAACTTCATTTGAGGTCTTATGTGGGTGCACTCTTTTTCTGCCTTAGACTCAACTGCTGTCTTAGCTACTCTTTTCTTTGACAAAGTAAAACTTGTCTTATGAGTGAATAACTACTTTCAGTTATGATTTTTCCTAGACTGTATAAATAAGGAAACATGATTCTTACACTGAGCTTTCATGTAGCATTTTGCTAATCAATATAAAACTCTGTGATTTGCTAAGGCAGTCCAGTAAGTATTAAGTTAAGAGAGCTGGTGATAGCTCCCAAAGATTTACTATCCATTCAAAACAGAGTTAAAATGATATTTGTACTGAATATCTTTTACTGAATACCTTTTGGAAAAAAAAAAACAAAACTGTCCTGCTCCTTTTGTTTTCTATGAGATTTAAATCTCAGTTGAACAATTATGTGGAAGACAGCACTGTAATTACTGCGTTTTTTTTTTAATTTTAATTACAAAAAAGCATAAGATTTTAGTAGTAATGTTAGAAGAAAATATCTAGCTTAACACATCCCAGAAGAACAAACCTGTCTGCGTAGGCAGTCATGCACCTAGCAGTTCTTGAGGCCATAGAGGCTTCTGTGTCTTTAGGCAAGCTTTTCAGTTTGCATCAGATCCAATGAAGTCCCAATTACAGTTTTGTTTTTCAAGTTCATGTCACAGTTTTAGCCTCAAATCTATTTTCAAGAAAACTCTGACTTCAGAACTCGTGTCTCAAACTTGGGAGTGCAGAAACAGAGGGCAGGATTTCAACTCGAGCTCTGTGCTGTAAACTACGGATGTGAAAATGTGAAATGTAACACTTCTGAACCCAGCCTTTACATCCTGATCATTGCTATTTTCATTTTTTTCCCCCCCGCTCATTTTACAAGGAAATAAAATAAAAGCCATATTAAAGAAACTTTACAATCAAAGTCATGAAATACCAAGCTCTAATCCCTACAGCAAACATGACTAAACTATTACAGATAATAAATTAAAGTTAATTCCATCCAGTGATTTACAAAGCACTGTTTCTACTGACAAAACAGTTGTGCCGTAACTGTCAGAGCATTAGATTGAAGTTCATATATTTTGGTGTATTTATAATTTTGCCTTCTGAGCACTACTGGTAATGCCTCTGAACCTAATAACATGAAGGGAGTTACAAAAAGAATGTCTAACTGGTTGCAGCTGTGACCTTGTATACCTGAGTTATCAGAAGCTCCTAACACAAGAAGCAAGTGGGAAATACAGCAACACTAAAACTCTCCAGTTGTTAACAGATCAAGCCCTAAAATCCTAGTTAATGTACTGAAGATGTGTGCTCACTAGTTGTCATCCTTCTTGGCTGAAAACTGGCACCAAGACAAGTGAAGGAGGTAACCAGAAGACACTGAAAAGTATGGTAGACTCCAGAGGGGTCAAATCAGGCTGTGACCCTCAGATATACTTCTGGTCAGATCAAGTATGCAGCTCCATGCAGCAGATTGGTTTTTTCAACAAAGAGGAACTGGAATGCTTTTGCAAACCCTCTTCAGAGTTCACAGGCAGAGCCCTGCGCTGTGTACTGGGCTGCTTAGCAACTGGCGTTTCTGTGCACCGGTCAGGATCAGGTCAGCAAGGCCAGAGATTAAACTCATGGTGACTTTCCACTGCTTTGGCACTGGACAGGAATCTGTAAACTCTCTACGGTAATCAAAGCCAGCTTCTAAGAATGATTCTGTCCTTGAATTAACCAACGTAAACTAAAGATTAGATCCAGCCTTCTGATAGCAAGGGAAGCTAACTAAAAAGCTTTTTTGCTTATCTACGGCTAAGCAAACTCTTTCCTGGATCTAAAAAGTTGCAGATATTTTCCTTCTAAGAACTACTCACGCAACGGACTCTGCAGGAAAAAAAGGAAAAAAAAAAACACTGGAAAAAGAAATAAAATTCAAATCAGAATCCAGTTAAACATTCCTATAGAAATAAAGACTAAGCTCTAAGTAAGCTCAAATGTGTAAGAGAAACTTCATGTAATTGTACGCATGTAATGAGCAGATTACATTCATGGTAATTAGATAAGTTCAAGCTCAGCAGTGCATAGGAAATTACAGAAAGGTTTATTTTTAGATACTCAATAGTGAAAATTTGTGGAGCACAAATCAAATCTGCAGCGCATAAGAGACTCTCCTGCATTGACCCACATAACTTTCCTCACTGGGTCTCAGACAGACCACCTCCTGGCACTGATGGCTGTATGGGATTTTCTCTCTCTCCAGATGCCTTATTTTACCTTACATTTTACCAGCCAGAAAAAAAAAAAAATCAGGAGTGGACAACTGCAGCAGGGAGTGCTGTTTTGTTGGGAGGGGGTGGGGAGGAGGGAAAAGTTGCTTATTTTTTATACCACGCAGTCTCCTACCAGCAATTGCGCCTGAGGGGAAGCTCATTAGTTGCTATAGCACCTACTCTAATTGAGATACAGGAGACATCTCAGGTATCACCAAACACAGTTACTAATAGCTGTTAGAAGAGAGATGAGCAGGGCCTCCCTCTTCTGTTGCAGACTGCTGAGCCTGAAGGGGTCTCCCAGACTCCAAAATAATCTCTATGGGGAAGGAGGACCAATCATACCAGAAGAGCTGCCACTCTGCAACAGACTAGAGAGGAGTACAAGAGTAAGGAATACAGAAGAAGGCAGGCTAAGATAACCAAACCCTCCCTGGGACACTCCTGGACCATTGGGAGGAGAGTTCCCACAGCCTTTGTGAAGGATTCCTCTCATATCTAACCAGTCCAGCTGCAATATAAAGCTAACGCAGCGCTCTCTACCAAAGGGGGAAGTTGCTGCCCAGTCACAGTGACTCTTCCCTTCCTTAAGATTCACTCCCTGTCAGAAGTCAGTCTTCTGAAAAGATTAATAAGACTGCCACAGAATCATTATCTCTAAGAAGTGCAGGACGTGTGGCTATGGAAATAGTCAAAGTAATGGCATAAAGAACAGATAGAAACAACTAAATTTAATAAGATAAAAACATAGCCAGCCTCTGAGTTCCATCACTCTTGATAATCATTTTAAATTCATAAAAAGTTTTATTAGCTTAGAAAATGCAGTGTTGCTTCCTTCATTCTGTTGAAAGAACTATTCAAAGCAATGTGGATGGAGAACATGCACACAAGGTACACTATTTTGCAAATTTTAATTGTTCGAAAGCAGTGGTCTACCTTTCCTGTTCCCTATGGCATGAGATAGGACTATAGTAGTGGAACCTAAGCTTCACTTCTGACCAGTCTTTCCAGCTCTCACTCTACAAAGCAGGGTGTGAATTTGTATTTCCTGCTTATCTGCATCTCTAATTCTTTCTCCAACACACACACACACACACACACACACACACACACACAAGTACAGCCAGGGCCAGAATTTGACCTCTGGCAATTCAGAAAAATCCAGAGAAGGTCAAGAAAAATGAAAATAATGGACAAGGCACTATGAAATCTACATAAGTGAAGATGATTAAAATTAGGGACAACTTTTGCTCACTAAGAGTCTGAGCCCCCATATATGACACAAATTGCATCTTAAGTATGAGAGAGCACACTTCAAGCCACCCACTTTGCAATTTTGAAAAATTAAGGACATTAACAATCCTACCACAATAAAGTCTGCCTTTTGCAAATGTTTAAATAGTTAAGTTCACAGTTTTAGCTGCATCCTATATTTTCTTAAGAAGAACATCTTTCTGTCTGTGCTGCAAGGCAGATGTATCAGGAGCAGATGACTTCAAAGGCCTCCAAAAGACAACAGGCGTTTTTATCAATGCTGAGTGCAAGACTCTTCATTGTAAAAGTTTTTTGGTTTTGGTTTTTGCTTTGTTTTGGTTTTTTTTTTTTTTTTTTTTTTTTTTTTTGCCAAGTCCTCCAGATATCCCATTTGAGATATGAAAGGTCTGGAAATTGCCACGGCCATTTCTGCTGTCTCTATTTTAGCTGTCCATGGAGAAATAACTACTGTGCTGCCTCTTACCAAGAAAAATCTAAACGTGCTCACATGACAACATTCATTTTGCACTCAAATATTGTTGAAATGCCAGAACTGAAGTATTTTACGGCACTTACTGCTCTTACACATGCTCCTGTATTTAAGTACATGACACAAAAGTGAGATTATTCCAGCACGGTAACAATTCGGCATTAAACTTTTCTGATGCTCATAAAGTAAATTTGCAAGATATGCTCCAGAACAGAAAGAACCTTGGAGTCCTACAAATATTTGCTACTTCCCATCCCCACAGTGCAAGATTCACATCTGAAAAAAATTCCCTTTGTGAGAAGTTTTAATGTAATATGTTACCATGTAAATGGAAGACGCTGTAATATAACCAGGTGTCCTGCTTTCATGAGGAAGCTAACCGCCACTGGAGTGGTAGACAGATAGGAATAAGGATATGGTTAAGTTATCACAGCTTAAATGAGATTCATTGACTCATTTTTTTTTTCCCTCCAATCTCTCAGTGTTTATTCTGAAATTAACAAGTATCCACACAGCACACAACCCATGATAGTAAACTGAAGAAATACTAAAGGCGTATGAAAAAGGCTCTGCATACACTTTCAAGTACAATGAAATACCCCGCATTCCTGCAGTTTCACACTGTCACAAAAAGTGGCACAGGAATGATCATGAGATAAAACGAAGTGTAATTTGCTTTCACCTCCACTATTTATATTGCTTACCTTCATTAACTGCATGAGGCTTAATAATGCAACAAGTAGAGTTTGTGAATTTTGCACTGTTGGCTGGTCCATGGCCTCCACTGGACGGAAAGAACAACTCCAGCTCCTGAAAACAATTGCAATTGAATTCACTTTAGTTTTATCTAGCTGCATGCATGAGCTTTCATCATAAGTAACAACATCCAAAGTACTCAGTCACAGAAAATTATTGATTTTTGCACTACAAATGTAGGTTATTGTAGGGGAGAAGTATATCTTTCACTCCCTGGCAACATTATGATTGCTACAATCATAAAAACATCATTTGAATGTTTCTTGTAGTTTTTTTTTTTCCCTTTCTGCTTCCACAATACAATCTATTTCCACTCAGAACATTCAAAGTGCTGCTACTGCTGCCACAATCATTTGGCAGATGAAGCATTCCCAGATTTCTAAATTCTTTCCTCAGAATTTTTTGCAGATCTACTCCCATATACAGATTTTAGCTTCCCTCTTTTCATGACACATTTTCCTCCACTTCAGCAATAACACTATGAGCACCCAGTTTTTCCTTATACAAAACCAATCTCCATCCCACCTGCTTACAACTATTTTTTTTTCCTTTTGTATTAAAAAAAATCTTCACCTAAAATTGTTGGCTCCACTCTCATGACTTACAGACTCTTATCCCTCTTCCCCCCACCCCCCTCAGTCTTAGTGAATGGAAGATGAACTCAATTACTCTGATTTCTGTGAAGAATCAAAAGAACCTCTTTTTTCCCATTACTTCCTTTCCTCCTGCCATCATTATTCAGTCTTAGACTACAGCAAGCTTGACACCCAAGCTTATTTCCTCAGTGATTTTTAGGTTTTTTTTTTTTTTTTTTTAAACTGTTCACTGCCAGCTTCATGCTTTTTCCATACCATTTATTCACATAGCTTACACAATCTGCCAATAAATATTAGTCAAATGCTTGAAACACAGATTCCATTTAAGACCTACTGGTCAAGTTAAGTAAGAGAATTGATGAATTTCTATTTAAGGGAAATAATAATATCCTGGAGATACTACTTCCAAATCCATCTAATTTTTTTGTGTGTAACACTAAGAGCGCCGAAGGCCATTTCCTGGAAATGTCTTATTTAATTTACTAGCTCAATTCAGATAGAATAAACTATTTCTCAATCTTCTCCTCATGTTACTATGGCAATTCCTGTAATCCTAACTTGAACAATTACACAGTTTTCACTGATGGATCTTTCAACAGGTGAAGTGTTTCTATTTTCTGAGGTTTTTTTTTTCCCCTCCTAGCAAGCAATGCCCATTTTGAGTGCCCATAAGGGTTAGTTTCCTACATCCTTATTTTGGTGACATGCTGCAACCCTCAAAGACCTTGTGCCATTCTGTTAACTAATGTTCATTCTAAAAGCAGCAGCGAGAAGGAGACAACAAAATACTTCAAATACTTACCACTTTCTTTGGTCCATTAAATGCCAGAAGAGAAAAGTATCTAAATAATGCTGAAGAGTAGGATAATGAAATGACAAACAAAATCCAAGTGATGCCTTAAAAAAGCAATTTTTTTTATTCATACCTAATATGAAAAAAAAATTGTCCTACAGAAAGAAAAATAACCTCAAAGTACACCAGGGGCCTACTTTGATTAGTCATTGCACTGTTCTACTCTAACTGCTCAGTGTATAGTACATCCATTAGATGTAGTTGGGACTTTGGTTTTCTTTCAAAAAAAATTTCATTTAGGTCCCTCTATTTTCTATTTCTTTTCAGGAAAGCTTCTGCAAACTGCAACCAACTAGTTTCCATGGCAGCTGCTATACAAGCAGATAGTTCTGCACCTACAATGTTAAAATACGTAGAGGCCTATTAAATTCACAAGTTCAGTTGTTTTATCAGAGAGTGGTATCAGCAACACCACAAGGATGCCTACATCTGCAAAAGTTCAGCAATGCAATAATTTTAGTCATAAAAATACTACACATGAGCAGGGCCTTCAAACTGTTGAAATGTAAAAGAGAACTACAAACTTAAGCCAAAGCACATAGCATAAGATTCTGATTGGAAATTTAATTAATACATACTGTCTCCTACACTCTTAGGTAAAAAGCTGGCACAGCAGGTCACTGCTGCACATAGAAACAAAGAGAAACTTTTCCCTTTGTGCATGAAGACATCAGTTTACTTAACCAGAATTACAAAGACTTGTCTAAAGATTCTCCTTTATAAGAATTGAACTTCATCCAAACTCTTTCTGGATATGTATCATTTCCACCAGACTTTCCACCACAAGAAGTATTTCACGTCCAAAACATGACTTGTCAAAACGAAAAGGTGTGCAGAGAGGCCCCACAGGCCATGCACCATGCAGACACCTGAGCATGGTGCTTCAAGCAATGCCCAGGCCTCACAGTGAGTTTCCCATGCCCTGCAAACCCACAGCAGCTGCAGCTACGCTCACCACTAGCACATCATTGCTACACATTTCCTAGTACATAAAGTGCCAACTACTATGAGGCATCCCTCAAAAGAGCAGATCTTTTCCAAATTTGTTCTACTGCAGCTGCTTCAAGGTAATAAAGGGGAAAGACTGGGATCCCAGAAGCAACAATTATCTTTTCCCTGCTAGTTTAGAGCTAAGATAACAGCGCAGTACTGAAAAACTGTTCAGTAAACTTTACTCTAGCCATTGCTTATCAGCAGATCTACCCCACATCAGTGTTCACAAACACCTCTGTTCTATGGAAATGCCGGTAATATTTAATCACCCAGTCCTAGGGCTTTTTCTTAATACTTTAAGAAAATACAGATGACAAGGAGAAGGGGAACTTTTAGAAGCCAGGCCCACTGTATTACCTTCCAGAACACAAAGCAATACAAAATGGTTTGTCTTCATGAATATTTGATATGCACAATGGGAGCAGAGTTTTTAGAGGACTAGGCACGTTGTCCTGATCAAAATGTCCGAGACTTCCATTTATGGCAAATATAAACAAGATTCCTGTTTCCAGACAGTTTATTCTTCCATGCTAAAAAAGAGAATACCTATTCATTCAGAACTCAAATGGGAAAAAAAGTAGTGAGAAATTCCTGACCACTTGCATTATCAAATTAAATTAACAAGAAAACTAGTTAAGAAACAAAGTCAAAAACTTACTCGAGCAGCTGAGGCAACTGAATCTGGGCCATGAGCTGCATTTCTTATGCCATCATGTCCAAAGTTTGCTCTAATGCTGTCTGGTTCATCAGTACGAGCCACTGCAGAATTTGCAGGCCCCAGTAATGTTTTCCATTTACAAACTGCATCATCCCGTAAGATTTCCATAGCAACAACAGGACCACTTGTTATAAACTGGAGAAGCTCACTGCAAAATGGAAACAACATATGGTGATCCGGGCTGTAAATTAAAGCCAACGAAAATACGTGACCCAGCAGAGAGGTTCAGAACTCAACTCAGCAAAGACCTGAGCAACCTAACTTTGTAGCTCTGCTTTGAGGAAGATTTTTCTTCTCATTGTTTTGAAATGATTTATAATTATTTGTTTCTAAATTTGAGAAAATTCCTATATAGAAGATGTAGTGAATAAGACTGTAGTAGGGAAGACCAAGCAAATAAGGACAAAAGCTTAAGGTTCCTCAGATAACTATCATTAGCGTAGACAGACATCTGTGAAATAACACCACAGGCAAAACTCTTGCTTTTTATCAACATACTCAAACAATTACTCAGCAAAAAAAAAAAAAAAAAAAAGTTCTAGATCATCTGATCTCCATCATGGTCAGATATAGCCTGTACTCAGTCAGAAGGGCTTGAGTTTGGACCCACAGTAAATCAGTTGCTGTTGCAGAACGATAACTATGTCAAGCTAAAAGTGATGTACCTACTTATAAAAAGGTTTTGATTGATGGTCTACGTAGAAATCAACCGCTTCTTTTCTGGAAAAGTAAAAAGATGCAGCTTTATATAGATATATACAAAGTGTATATATGCGTACACATATATATACACACTCACACATATATATAAACTCTGAGAACCACAAACTATCATTCATCAACATTTTTCTATTGATAACGCCTTCCTGAGTTGGAAAATTTATGGGGCATTCATACCCTGTAAAAGAAACTACACAGATTACTCCAGAAGTAATGCCTCCTATTTAGTTCCATGGAAACTAAAATAGATACAAAGAGTACAATAGCATTATTTGATACAGAAAAATCTCAGCTACAAACAGTATTTTTCAACAGTTACTTCCATTAGCTGTGCATTTTCACCAATGATGAACCAGAGCCTGCATGGTACTCTTACCAAAACTCATGCCAGCAGAGGTGACCTACTATTGCTGTCAGTGTTGAAATGCACCACCCACTGTCAAACAGTGAATGTGGGCACTGTGAGATCTCCAGAAATGTTCAGCAAGCAACAGTGAATGTTAATGGGCATCATGCTTTCCGCATGGAAAAATTCAATGACACACCTTTGCTTCATCTGTATTCTCATGTCAGGTGCCACTTTATCAGACTGCCCCTCCGCTGCCACCTGTCACACAGCAACGTGTAAGGGAATGCTGGTGTGAAGGTTCAGTCTCCACCATAGTAAAACAGGAGGCATTACTTTTGGAGCAGCACTCTTACATTTAACTTTGTCATATTTAGCATAGTTAGAGGTGTAACTGACTCCTGTTCACAATCCTCATCTGGGAAGGAAGTCATCACTAAAACTAAGATTTTCAAAGTCACTGATGAGCTCCACATTCTTAGCTTGGGAAACAAACACAGCAGAAACACCCTCCTGACAAGCTATTCACTGTTACATTGCTTTGATCTTTCAGTTCAATTTGAGTGTATACGTCGGGTAATGAAATCTGGTTTTAAAGCATAAATAAACAATTCATCTGCTTCAGTGAAACCTATTTCCTTATTGGGGCTAGTGTTTGATGACAGTGAACAACAGCATAGTGCATAATCTGGTTTCTACTCAGTATCCACAAATGTTACAATTCCAATAGGTAGCACAACCCCTCCAGATTAAAACATGCTTTCTCATATGCTTTTCCCTTTTATAACTGAGTTTGGTCACGCACTTCCCTCAGGGAAAAATCCAGTTACTACACACTGTCTGCTCCCATAGCAAGAGATTTCCATGAGGAGAGCTCAGTACTTTTTCAGGTAAAAAAAGGCAAGCAAGCACACAAAGTGTACCTGTACTGCAGCTGTTACTTAGTCTCAGTACCTGAGTACAAAGATAGCACATCAGATGCTGCAGGCTAAATGCCAGAATATTAATCACTAACACAGCATGACGGCCCTCCCCAAGCTCTGCACTCCCACAGCCATGCCTCTAGTAGCCCTGTGCTCAGTTTCAGGGTCCATAGTGCAGATCCTTCTTCCATCCACCTGTGAAACATCACTCTTTGGCTTTTCACCTTGCCACTTCCTGAGCTAGACAGCCCACCCTCCTACCTCCTTTTTCTTGAATGGCTCCTCATGCAAACTCTTGCTACCTTCACTGCTTTTTCTGCATGACAACAGCTAGAAGAATCCATGAGAGTTTTCAAGTTCAGCCGTTATCTTGCAACTGCAGCTTCAAAACTCCAGTTCAGAAGTGCAGGTTTGGACTTGCTTGCTTTCAAATCCCACCAAGTACCATGTTCTGAAGCTGGAATTTGCCGAGATGGATAAACTCTCGAAGCAGACTAGCAGCTGAAAGCAAGCAGTAATGCTGATCCCCCAGTCTGTGTACAAACCTCATAATCAAAGCAGAGATGCATAGAAACTGAAAGATCCCCATCTGAAAAATTCCTTCTGAAGGCAAAAAATGTCTCCTGAAATTTTCTGGTCTCCACAGTTTTACTCACTTCAAGCAGCTCCCTTTACTGAAAGACACCACCTGAATATATTTCAAGTAACATGCTGCAAGTCAGAACCAAGTCACAGTAACTGTCATCTGCAATGCAACTTCTTACATCTTTCTTCATTTGCAGTCCAGACTTAGGCCTGATATTGCCAGAGGCAAGAAATAACCTCAAGAAGTACCTAAAGATAATTTAATTTCCCTGAAAAAGATTTTAACAATCACAAATTTCTTCTTTGAGGAATCAGAACAGCTATCTACCCATTGGAACCAAACAGTTCCTGGTTGGTTGCTTCAAAACCAATGCTAGTCACAGGAATACTTGCACTCTCAAGCTCCAAGTTTTTGCTTACAATTCACTATTTCATCAGAACATCCCTTGCCGAAATTAATTCACCAAATAACTTCGGAAAGCAAATGGGGAAAAAGTACACAAACAGATTCCATACTGTCATCTCTGAATACGAAGAAATATTTCTGGAATATTTTTTCTGTATCAAGTTGAACTCTACTATTCAGTTAAGAATTCCTATTGCAAGAAATATAGAACTATGGTTGTGCTGTATAACTTAGCTCCTTTTTCCATTTCATCTCTTGTTACTGTTCTGCTTTTAAAGAAAGGAAAACAGTGTTCACCAGGAAATAACAGACTCAACTCACATGCGATTAACTTCTGTGTCTAGATAGCTGACCTATCAAAGCAGGTATCTGTCCTCACTTTTGTATCTTGGCTATAGCTTTTTTTAAAAAAAAAAACAAAAAAAAAAAAAAAAAACAGAGGCATAAACCAAGCTAACAGGGATTGCCAGATGAGTGTCAGTAATATTTTCTTCACTGAAAGCAACAGATGACAATGCTTGCTTGAGTAAGTATGCCAGATCTAGTAGAAAATTTTGGCAAAGCCACTGCTCCAGCATTTTAAAATGGCAATAGCAAGAAACAGTGTATGTTATGCAGAGAAACTACAAATACTCATACATCATTTAACTAGATTTAGTACTGAGGCTCAATTTCACACTTAATAATCATTTTCAATTTTACAAGACAAGCAGGGAGTTTTATATAGGCAGTAGGCAATAAAAGTTTAATTCCCAGTTTCCATTTCCTTCAAATCACACAACTTGGCTCAATAGTTCTCCAAGTTCACTGACACTGAAATAAAGAACCACTCAACACTTGAGAATCAAATATCTCAGACTGCAGGAAAGCAAGCCAAAAAAAAAAAAAAAAAAAAAAAAAAAAAAACCACTCGCTTGAAAAACACTGAATTGTAAGCCAGCATTGCAAACCTGACTGAACTCACAAAGTGGAGTTGTTTGAGAGAGCATCTGGGACCAGTCTCATCAAACACTGTAGTAAGTGAACACAGACATAAGAGGAGGTGCTCACTTTTTTTTTTTTTTTAATTAGTATTTCAGAAAGCCAAAAAGAACTTCAAGGTAGGATAAAATTGTTCTTGACCTCACAGAGAAATCCCAAGGAACCATGAAAATTGTACTATTTAATACGGATAGCTTTTCTTGTCAAAAAGATGTTGCATATCAAAAGGCTTGGCAATGCAGTAACTGAGAAATACCATAATCTTGGAAAACTCTTTAGGATAAATTAATCATCTTTATGGGAAAGCATTTTGCAAAGGAAACCATAATCTTGTGGTTGAATGAGACAGGTGGAGAGCAGCAAAGGGTGCAGGGGGAGCATTCAGGGAGATGCACCTGTTCAACCCTGCAACGTGATCAAAAGATCACCTGCTTTGCCTGTGTTGCCTAGTTATTAAAAAGCAAACATGTTCAGGCTTCGGGAGTACAAATTAAGACAATGAATTTACAGAGAGTGAAGAAACCAAGTACTTTTAAGACAACTGTGTTATAATCTGTAATACGGCTTATATCAGGAAGTTACAAGGTGAGCACATGCAGAGAAGTCATCGGTGAATGTGACTGAATTGCTGAAGTAATGCTAGTCACCTTGGATTCACACAAATTGTTTAATCACCCATACTCATTTGCACAAAGCTTTGTAATACTTTATTTTCTATATGTATTTAGAAACCTACACACTGTTATGAAACAGATGAGCCTTCCCTTTATTACTCACTGGAATGGATTTAATGTGTAGAACAACATGGGATAAACTTCAGAGAATGGCCTGAACTGCACGAATAGTACATACAATAGAGCTGACCTTATAATTTCTTACCTTGAAAGCACCATCATTTTGGCCTTAGTTATTGTAAATCCTGCATTAATAATGATATCTACTAGTTCTCCAATCTTTGGTGTTGCATCAGGTTTAATCAAAGCCAATGTTCTGAAAGAAAAGAGAGATACAGCCAACATTACTTTTCTTAAAGAATTTAGTGTGCATGTCGAGTTTACGCTCAGATGGAAAAGCACCACAGAAAGACATTCTGCCACAGTCAAGCATTCTAGTCCCACTGTCTCACCAATTCCTATGCTATTCTTCAATGTCTGTGCCAAGCATTATTCCAATGAGAATAAGCTTTGCTTATTACAGTTTCCTCAGCTTTCTAAAGCCAAGTCAGCCCATAGCGTTCCATCAGTCGCCATTTACCTGCTTCTTCCCTCACTCTGACAGCAAATAATCTGATCACTTCTTGAAGTGGTGCGTACCTCTACCCACAGCAATGGCTACCTTTCCTAACCCAAACCTCACAGCAACTGTTCACAGCCTGCTCCTGAAGTTTGGTTCTTCTCTTTCACACATGAAATTCCTTGTATTCTCAACACTTGCCTGTTTCCTGATATTCTCAAACTGATATTCTACCCACAGAATCCATTCAATTTAAAACCTACACTTTTTAAGCAGTTTGTCCACGAGATTTTACTCAGTGATTTCAGTTTTAAATATTCAAGAACGATAACCTCATAGTCACACAATTGTGCCTTTAGCAAGACAGAAAAGAACACTTTCCTAAGCACGAAAGCTATGAGGAATATTCAGTCACAAGGAATTATGAGATACACATTAAATTTTTTGAAGTACATCTCTCTCATGCTGCAGAGGTAGATAGTTTCTCTATGCTCCTCACTCCCTGCTTTGAGTTAGAACATCACTCATTTGTTTCCTTCTCCCTTCTATGCTCTTTCCTTAGGTAACCATTATATACATAAAAACCAAGCTGATCAACTTCTGTATTTAGAAATATTACCTAAAAACATGCCTCCCACAAAAATCAAAGTGAAATGATTATTGTATTATTACTTTAAAAGTTTAGGAGGCCCCAGTGACAAGAGGGTCCAGTTTTCCTTCATACAGTACAAACACTCCACAGTATATGAGTTGTGTGCCACGGTAGCTGATGCTGATAATGGACACAATAAAACGTTGTGAGATAAGGTATTAGTTACTGACTGACATCTGTATTCTAAGAGAGACCAAAAAAAATCTCAATGCTCTCCCCCACATTTTTGTTTTCAAGTACATCCTATCTTTTCAACAATTATCTTTTTATACTATACATCCCCAAGGCCAGGACAGTTTTATTAGCATGCTTTGCATCAGACCAAGTACACCAAGCACTAAATATATTATTAATCAAAAGTAACAAGCAAAAAGGAAGGTCTGTAAAATGGCATTTTCTATTTGCATTCATCTTGTGGTGAGTCAGCTTCAAATGTGCTCAGCTTACAAATCAACAGATGATTTATTCAATTCTGTATCTCTGAAACTGTCTCTGTGACAATCCTGAAGAGCTCTTTCACTCCTTCCATCTTTTTACACTGTTTCTAATAACAAAGGCTTCTCAAGATAGATTTTTTTTAAAGCAGCACCTCCATAAATGACAGGTAAATAATGACAAACTTCTCTTTTTATTTAGCAGCATAAAAATGAAAAGCAACCCATAGGTTTGCAGCAGTATATTCCAATGAGAGCAAATATGCTGAGGATACAGGAGATGGATGAATTTCTACTACCTTTACTACCTTACCTTAGGCAACCAGAGATTACCAGATGCTTTGGGAATGAACAGGCTACCTATTTTACAGCAAACGTTAAGGAAGAGCGGTGTCAGAGCGGAAAACAAAGAGGGAAATTTGAATGCATGCAACATCGCATGTGAAATTAAGAGAGAGACATAGATGACCTTCACGGCTCAGATACCAACACAGATTTCCACAAGCATCAGAAGGCTTCCATACACAGATCAGCAGGGAAACATAACACAGGAAGACTTGTTGACTAAAGGTAGAGGCAAGCAATTATAAGAAATTGCATTTGAATAATCAGCTGAGCCTATGCTTCAGTACATCGCAGTCCAAACCAAAAACGATTTAACCCTGTCTTCAGGCCAGAGAAGGCTGACCTCAGGGAAGCATGCTAGCATAATCCATGTGGCCATAGCCTGACAACACTTCCCAAGGATTTAATAGCTCCAATTTATTTTGTGATATTATTTATCATATGACAGAATGTGCCATGTGCATCAAGGCACATGAAGGTAAGCAGTTGTGTGCTAGGCCAGGCATACCTTCACACAATGCATGATGTACACCCTGGCTCAAGAAGCTCTCAACTTGCTCATTTACCGTGATCACCAAGGATCAAATCATTGCATAAAATCACCAGTGAAGTTGACGTTTCCCTCCGGAATTATTATTTTTTTTTTTTTTTTTTTCTCGATCTATGCTATTACACAGGCTGTTCAGCACAAAGTGCTAACACTAGAAATAAACAATCCCTTACACTTCTAATTTCAAGCTTTCCAGTAAAACTCTAATTCCCAGCCAAGTGCAATGAAACATTGCTTTGAGTAGTAATTCACCTGGAAGAAACTAACAAAAATCGCAGTGAGCAAAATCTAACAAAACCTTTTAGCTAACATCACTGTATAAAGTGTGTAACATATCAGTATGAGCTTTTCAGAAGCAAGCAGGGCAAGAAAAAGTATAATTCAAGATGCTGAAGCCTGTTCCTGAGATTCGATTGAAAATGTCTTATTTTTAGCTTTAATTAGCAATATATTTTTGTAGTCTTACATGATGCAGTCTGCAGAGTACTTTTTGAAACAATTTTAGGTCTAGGAACAAAGAATGAAAACTCATCCTGGTTGCTTACATTTTCAGAAGGATTGTTTGACAGTACTCCAACGAGTGCTAAAAAGAAAAAAACAACCAGGAGATGGGAGCTGATCAAAGAAACGGTGCACAATTCATGTTGTAGCTATGCTTGTGAAACCTACTTATTAAAAATAAGCTACAGTACGTGCAAAAGTCCTATGTCATGTAGGGGAAGAGATACTGATTATGTCAATGACACAGCCAATTTGAAGAGATTGAGTATTTCTGCTCGAGACACAAGTTTTCTCATACCATTTTCAAAATCATGGATATTAACTGACATTGAGTACAGACAACTTAGAAAGTACACACTGCTCAGACAAGTGTTTACTTCAGGTTACAACTGCCCAGGATCACAAATGGAGGACTATACAACAGAAGTCACTTTCTTAAAGCAGTGTTTCTTTACACTGTGTGCTCTAAGTAAATACATGCTTACCTACCTGTCTTATTTCCTTACACTGGCCTCTTACCATGTGTTTCACACCTCATGTAATTAGAGTGACATTTGCTGGCTCTCCTGACAAGAACAAAGGCCCCTAATTCAAAACATTCACTTTTTTCTTCTTATGTACATTACCTTACTCACAGGTCTTTTCTGAGCTTTGTCTGCATGCATATTCAGCAGCCAGAGAATGTACCTCCAAAGCTGAGATAAACAGATTATCCTGTACAGTATAAAGGCAAGGAAAGGCACGAATATTTTTGCCCTCATACAACATCCACAAAATTATTAGCAACATTCCAACTAGAAATTATTTTTAGGAATTAAGTGCTGCAGAAATCTTACTAATAATAATGTTTAACTAATAACTGCTTTAAATGCTGTGAGGACCAGGCCAAAAAGACAAACAGTCCACATGCAGCCATTTTGCACAAGGATTCCTTTACTATGACCCTGTTTACCCAGTGAAAGCCAGCTTCTGTGAAGGAACTGGATTTTGAGGATATCTTGCCTGTTTAAGACACCTTTTACTATGTTCCCCAAGGCCATTCTGAATATGTAACATCACTTGCATATTTATGTTATCTTTCAGCTGACATTCCTAAAATGTTTTCCAAATAGCTTACGTCATAAATTCTCTCCTTCCTTTTGTAGAGCACCCCCCTCTCCAAGGACCACCTCACTGACAAATCTGTGGTGTTGCTGGCTATACAGTGTTGCTGTACAAACATACAGCTACACTTATGAGAAAAATGTTCCACTTTATCACAAGCCACCTTTTCTTATTATAAATCCATCAGTACCAGGGCTTATGCAAGTTTAGGCAGAGCATGAAACATGCAGCAATAAAAAAATTACACCGAGATAAAACCCATAAACAAGACAGATGTAATCTACTCAACACTCCAATGAGAAACAGAGAGCAGTGTCATACACAGAAGTCCTTCTCTGCTATTCTCCACTCTCTTTGCTACTCTTCCACCATTTGCAACTCCAGACTGAAGAAAAAGCACCAGAAATCATCCTTCTGGAAGCTTCTTATGAAAACTTATTATGGCAGTCATTTCCAAGGCAATGTTTTTGTGAGGTTAGGACAAAGATAATGCCAAAACTTGCAGCTGTTCCAAAGTGTCCAGTTATGCTTCTTCAAAAAGAGTTCAAACTAACACCAGACAGTGAAAGAGAGCAATAGAACTGAACAGGGCTCACTGCAACACCATGCCTGTGAAAATACTCTATGAACTTCTTTAAAAAAAAAAAAAAAAAAAAAAAACCACCAACAACAAAAACCTGGAGCAAATGATCTAAATTCACTAATTCCTGAATTCAGAAATTATATGCAGTGCAGGCAAATCAGATTTAAATTTCTCCTAGAGTAACCTTATTGTCATTCTAAGTTTCTCCTACTACTTTTGTTCTTGGATGGGTTTTTACCTATTAAGTTTGTCTTAACATACAACCACGTAGGTTTTATTGACATTCCCACTCCACACTTCTCATCCTCATGCATGCATAGTTTATGAAATGCTGAAAGCATTCTGAAATGAAAAACCTCCACAGTGAGAAAAGCAATAGAGGATAGGAATGGCCATTCTCGCTCCAGTCCCTACTGTTCTGTTACTACTGATAATACAGGATAGACGTGTTTGGTAAGGTACTAGTTTTCTGCACTGATTGCAGAGAGGCAGTTTGCAAGATTGTGGCCCAGTATCCATTAAGGTTACTACATCAATACTGCCCTGAGAGAATCCACAAATCACAAGAATGCTACTCCTACCAGCCCTGCAAGGAGTAACAAAGCTGAGTTGGAGCTCATGTTTTCCTCCTCCACCTCTCCTCTTCAGAGAGATCTGGAGAATGCAGCATCACACACCGTGGATAAACTGGCCTTGAAGATGTATCAGGTGGGAGGGATAATGGTGGGTTTGCCTACAAGCAGGGAACTTCTTCCCTCCAGCTATCAGTATGCCAGATGACTGCAAACCTCATGCAGACTTGTGACTAATTCCTCCTTTTCCCACAGTACAGAAATCCTATTTTCAGCAAAGAACAATTACCCCAGTCATAAAGGAGGATTTCAAACAAACAGGTTTTCTTACCTTTCTTTGCGGCTCCCTAGCTTGCGTGCTGTATATTGATCTCCATAGTCCACTAAGGAAAGATGACGAGAAAACACAGTAATTTTGTTGCCCACAAACAGATCCTCAAGGTGTAAGCTCTCATACTTGGTGCGCTTTAAAAAGGTACGATGGTTCTTCACATCATACTGCAGACAAAAGAAGAATAGAACCTTCTACAGCAAGAGATCTAAGCTGTTGGCAAACTCAACATAATTCTTACTTTTCCTTCAGAAATTTCCATAGCTCTGTGGGATTGAATCTGATCATTAAATTGACTTTATTCTTAACCCTTTGAACTTGCACACGCACCAGGAATGCTTAGAAGATAAACGGAACAAATGTGTAGTTTTAAGTGGTCTCAGGGGGATGGCTGTCTTCGCAGTTTTTATTTTATTACTTGCTTGTGCTAATTCCAACTATGGTAAATGGTTCACGTTCCTAGTGGCTAACTCTGCTCAGCCTCAATCAGAATTCCCCCTAGCTGGTCTGTGCTGTTTCACAGGCCAATGGCTTGAAGCAGTAGAAACCATAATACATGCTGTGGCAGGTCTTGTCTTCAGGGGACTGTTCCAGTGATATTGTGCTTTATTTGGCTGTGTACAACTCTGAATTAGGGATGGATGGATGGCTGCAGCACTACGTTCAGAAGTTCTCACTGCCTAGAGCTGCAAGCTGAAATGCCTGTCAAGACGATTCAGCTACATATCAACATTCTGAGCAAGAAGGAAGACATTAATGCGCAGTTTTCTGGGTGGACTGCTAAAGCACAAAATACAACCTCATGAACAGTTTCTTCTCTACTACATATAAATATTACAGATCCCTTCAGTCTCTTAGAGAAACAGAATCTCAGGAAAGGAAAAGTTTTGTCCTCTTCAGGCCAAACTTTTTTTTTTTGATACCTCCTTCTATAAGCAGGATTCTGTAATAAAAACATCCTTAGCCCTCACCTATACGCTCTCAGTGTTCTTCAGTTTCAAGAAGAGGCCTATTAATTGAATCAAGCATTAAAATTCTTAATATCTCAACTAAAAGCTTGATCATACCTTCACTGAAGCACAAACAGTTCCTAGAAAGGCACACCCCCTTCTGCTTCTCTCTTCTCAAGCAGAAGATGAAGAGGGAAGAAAAAAGAGGCACCTATCTGTATTAACAAATCCTTTAGAGTGGAATTTCATATCTGCCTAAAATATCTTCTTACAATACAAATGAAAAGTCACAGCAGAAGAAATGTAAGATGGCTTTGATTTTGTTTGTTTTCTCTCTTCCTTCTCTTATGTATATGTAAACAGGTAAATTGTCCACAATAATTCTCTCTAGGAATGTGTCGTTTTCAAAGATTTCTTCTTTATTTTAGGAAATCTCCTCTAGAAAGAGAAGTTTGGATTTAAAAATTCTGCATGAGAGTTAACTGTGGAAAACTTGGATAGTTGGGGATGTCTCTCTTGACGTACTCAGGCTGATCAGAAACAGTTGCTTGCTGTCTTTGGACAAAAACCTGTGCTGCTTTCTAATGTCTGCAAAGCAAGCTGAAAACTTGTCATGTTATTTCTACTGTATTTTTCCTTCACAGGAAGGAAGGAAATATGAAGGAGTAAGAAACAAATGGAAACCTGAGAACCTCATATAACATAAACATTGAACAGCTCTATTCCACCTTCAGCTAGAGCATTACAAAGGAAAGCTACCATTGCAGAGATGGGAAGGGTGATTGACAGCTCTCTCATAAGCAGAGAGAAGCTGACTCGTGTCCATTACCTCTCTTCTCCAAGAATGCATTAGAGGCAAAGTGAGCAGCTGCCATCTCCTTGGGAAGATACAAAAGATCCAGAAGAATTTTGCAGTAACGAAAAAAGAATCACCAGACTCCAGATAAGTTTTAGAAACCATAAATAAATCCAGAAAATCATCTTAAATGTAATTTCTGTCTGCAAACTCACCCCCAAATTGAACTTGCAGAAGATACTGTAGGCATTTTTGCTTTTTTAGCAGTTATATTGATCTCACAAAGTCCATGCAAACTCATGACTGCATACACGCAATACTGCCTCAACCCTGAGAACACACCAGCAAAATGTAGGAACGTACCAAGTCATAGGTGTTTGATGCATAAAGCCCAAGAACACCTTGAAAGCTATGGTTTTAAGATATCTAGGAGAAATGAACAACAATTTTGTCAGCCTCCACATGGTTGTGTAGGAAGATTATTACGGCTCCTGACTGATTAGCTCTGATGTCTCACAGAAAAAAATCCTCACGTTTTGACAACTGTGCACACACATATCATACAAATAACTAAGTTAAAAGGGACAACATCACAGTAGAGTTTATTTCAAGAGATTATCAGTAAAAAGTGCACAGTGCATCTCCTCACAGGTGGGTACCATGGTTTCAGTAAATAACAGTTTGGATAAGAAAAAGGTAGATTCCGATAGTTCTGTTATTTCTGTGTTTGATATTTAAGGCAAGAAAAAATTAAAAAATATATTGAAATTAATACATGTGAATATTCAAATTTAGGCTATTTTCAGACCTTTAGATCCTCATTAAAATCTAGCAAACTCTAGTCAAAAATCACTAATTCATTCCTAAACGGAAGCACAAAGCACTGGCTATTTTACTGGATTATCAATACAGGATTATCTGCACTATATTTCTTGCTTTAACCTACTATCAATTAAAAATGAGGATTAGTTCAATGTGGCACAAGTCAGAAAAGTCTATGCAAGAACCAATAATGGAAAAATTTGGATTCCACTCACAGAAACATCCTTCCCTGCTTTAAAACCAACTTAGTTCACTGTTTCCTCCACTTTGATAGAAATTGTTTACAGCTAACGCTTCAGAGACTTCTAGAATTCTAACTGAAAATTGTTCTTGTTAAGGATCACCTTCAATTTGTGCAGTAGGTTCATGCTGCTGAGTTCCAAACTTAAATCCAATAAAAGATTAAATGAAAACAGATCTGTGAAAATGAAACTCTCCAAGCTTAAGACAAAAATCATTAATATGGAAGCTCTTGCACATGCTCCACTGTGAACTACCACGCTTTTCTCTATTTCTCAAACTAGAAGAACAGCATGTCTTCAGCTACAACATAATTACCTGGAAAAATAATTGGCAGTGGTTTTCCATTTTATAAGCAGTTTAATTATTATATTTAAAATTACTGTTTTTTATTCTTACCATTTCAACTGATCCATCTTTTGGATAATACAGAAGCTCATAACGCCGAAAGAGTGAAGCATTTGGGTCATACCATTCAGCAGTGAAAGCATACCTGTCATCTTGACTCTGCAAAAACAAAAGGGAGGGCTACTGAAGTAATCATACGTGTAATAAATAAGATGTACAGTTTTGTTGCATTTGTTATCAGAAAAGCAAAAATTGTTATTGGATGCACTTGCACACCCTGCATATCATCATTTGATAAATACAGCTGGTGACATCTTTTCACTGGTTACACATCACCTTTTAAGTGATGATAAAAACAATATGGCAGTTTTCCAGGAAATCTCAAAACTTATTCTGATTCCACCAGCCATGAAATCTGGACTTTTGTAGTATTTCTTGTGAGACCTAACTTTGTTACACTGAGTCAGGGATTAGACTTACTTTCATTTGTTGAAAAAGTGTGCTTGTTCCCAATTAAAATACTGAATCTTGTCATGTTTCCCACACAGATTACAGGAAAATCTCTTTCTGAGCTGTGATATCTGAACTTCTGTTAATGTTGAGAAAAACAGAACTAAGGACAGTAAAGTGATTCAGGAGTTAACCTCCTGAAATGCATATAAAGCATAAACAACCTGAATGCATTTACAACTTATTTCCTGCTCCTAAGAAGCATGCTTTTAAAGGCAGACTACAATAATTCTAGATCTGTAGCTACACGCGTCGTTCCCCCTCACTCACCCTTGAGGGAAGCAAGCACAAAGGCGATGCAATCCATGTGGATGTGCAGCTCTAGCACCTCTTAGTGGCATATGTTAGCTATTCTGCAATATCAGCTATTTGATAGCTGTTCGGTGGAGTTGCAGCCAACTAGGCCTTTTTGTCATCATATTTTAGAGAACAACAACATTTTAATTGCTTTAAAGACTTCCCACTAAGAAATGGGACAAAGATTTCATGTGGGCTTCCATGACTACGGAAATAGGTTAAAAGAAATTGTAATCACTTTTGTGGTGAGTGGAAGCCTAAAGAAAGAAAAAGATAACAAGTCCACAAATCTGTGATCTTGCTTTTGTTGTCAAGTGCATTTTTGCTTCAACATCTTCAGCTTAAAACTGACTTAAGAGTTTTTGCAGGTTACAGTCTGAGCACAAGCAGCAATGAGAAAGAATGAGATAACAAATCATTTCAGAATTTCACAGTGTGATGGATAATTCGGTGTAGTTAAAAGCATCATGCCTTACTGTCAGCCTCTGTGGTGCCCCTCTGCTGCAAAACAAATACAGGATCCTATCAGGAAAACTCACCCAGTGCCATGTGAAGGCTGCAAAACTCTTATTTCTAAATGCACAAGTTCATACAGCAATGAACTCAATATTTGTACAAGTTACTTTAGAAGTAACTTGTGTTATCTCTACAGCAGACACTACAGCCTTTGACATTATTTAAGCAAATCTTTTAGGCACAGAATGATGCACAAAAGTTCCCTGCAGACTTACCCTAGTTTCTGATCCTTAGTTAAGTTAGTCGTGCTTGTGTTTTCATTGCTACTGCCATCATTCTAGATAAATGTAAGCCAGAATAAACACCTTCCTATGGCAAATCTCACACTTTGTTTTCCATATAGGCCTGTTCTTGACAATAATGAGGGCTAACAGATAATAATAAATGACTAATTTCAACCTTGTTCTTAAATGCACTCATACTGCTGAAAGACAAGACAAAGCATTGACTGATGAATTTGACCACCATCTTATAAAGGATGCATGTTATATAGAACCACAGTGAACTGATAGTCTGCTGAAGAGGCTGTCTGAAAAGAAAAGCAGTTCTTGTTCCTGGAGTACTAACTACAGAAGAGGACTTCTGCAGAAGGCTGCATCAAAGTTCATTTTCTGAGATCTTACTCAATGCCTGAGCTTATTCATTTCTGTTATTCAGCAAGCTCTACTGCTTGCTTTGTATTTATATACTTTATATTAGCTGAATGACCATTCTGTGTTATCTTCTTTTAGGATGGTAAGCAAACCCAAGGCAAAAAGACTACTTAGTCTTGGAAAGTGCCACAGAGACTACACTCTCAATGTACAGCAATGGAATCAGTAGGAAAGTTTGAATTGATTGCTATTTTATACCTGAAAAACATGTAGAGCTAGTAGTTTTAGAAAACGATCATAGCAAAGAAGTCTGTACATCATTTCAAGACATGGCTGAAACGTGTCAGCTGCTAGTAAAATCACATCAGTGTGAACAGTTTGACTAATAACAGAACAAGGCAATCTATGCATATCGTAACAAGAACTTCTCCCTTTGAAACAGTTTCCATTCATTTCATCTCTCTACTCATCATAATCACACGCAGTCTCTTCTTTCACGGCTATGCTACTAAACAAGCAATAAAAATTAATTTTCTTTAGTCTTCACATCAGTGGAAGAAATACTGACATCAGAAAACCCAGAAGTAACTGCCTACTTTATATTTAGGTACCAAAGGTTTTAAAGTTGCTGAATTCAAGTTCAGTTTTTACAGGCTCTTTTCATTGTGAAAACCAGCGCATAAGAAATCAGTGACATCAGAAATTCACCTAATGTGAAGATGAAAAAAAATAATCTTCTTTCATGGGCTGCAGAGAAAAACGTTTTGATACACATCAGGTTTAGCTAGCTTGGTTTTTCTTACTTTATATTTCTACGTATGAATATGCAGTAGAAGTATGGTTTCTATGGTTCCGTGCTTATGAGAAACATTTACCGAAATACAGCTGAGCTTTTTTTAAAAAAAAAAAATCAAATATTGTATGTACATAGTACTGAAAGTGATGTAAGTAGCAGCAGCTCTCAGCTAGCATGGGGCTACATTCTGGAAGCCAAAGCACTCATAAAAAACTCATACTGTAGAGGGAAATGGTTTGTCTGGAACATAGCTGCCAATGAAGCCCATAACCAGAAGGGAGAATGCTTAGTAAGCTGGGCAGGAAAAGATGTCTTGCTGTATAAAACTCTTAAATTTCCACAGGGCTTCTGTTCAACAGTAAAACAAAAGTGGAGCTTTCAGAGATTCTCAGGTGAAGGAACACAGTGATGGAACAGTGGATGGAACAGCAGAGTTCAGGCACTAAGGAACTTGCATGCAAAAGTGGAGAAATAACATCCCTCCAATCCAAACTAGGCAGAATATATTCTGATGTTTCCGACTGCCACATCACTTCATTCTTATGGGATGCACACTTTTATACTCTTCCTCTGGTTTTGACTAGAAATTTCATTGTGGAGCTTTTCTTATAATGGAGAAAACAGGAAATAAGTGCTTAAGTAGTCCATTTTCTACTGAACATATGTACTTTCTGGCTCATCACAGTCTAAGAGAAGGGCAGTTGAAATGATCCCCTGTGTTGTTATACAAGTAACTTTTTTTTTTTTTCCCTCCACAAGGGTATTGCCTTTCATATGACCTTTTATTATACAGATAATTCTGTTTCATCAATAAGCCTGATAATAATATCAGTTATTAATATTTTTAATATTTTCTACCTGTTTGCCAATTCATGATCTCCAGCTGTAATCGCTCTGATCTCTAATCGAATGGAAGCAACCACCCACACATACAGTAGTTACCAGCCTGCAACGTTTCATAACCTCTACAGCTTAATACTCAAGAAAATTTCACATGGAACTATCGAAATAGTCCTCAGAACTAAAGGAGACCTAAGATATCTAGGAAGTCCACCTTTATATGCTATCAGTAATCTACTGGGGCTTACATGTGCTATCAGAAACTTCAGTGTGCATGAAATATGTGACGTGGACTCAGACTGCTGCCTGCATATTTAAAAGTTTGGGAGTCACAAATAATATCACTGTTCTAAGTCAGTAGATTTACGTCTGCTGCTCCTTCGATTTTCCCAGTAATTCTGAAATCAGATCAGAAGGAGAACAAAAGCACATGAATCAACTCCCAGAGAAGCAATAAAAAGACTGCAAAAACCTCAGTAGAAGCTGAATCGGAGCCAGAAAGATCCATCTTGGTCTCAGCATTCTGTATTTTGTAAAACTCTGTGCTGTCACAGGGAAAGGTGTGCTTGAGCATGGATTTTAATGGTAAAGCTGCTTGTACAAAAATTAATGGGAACACACTGGGCTAGCACAAGAATGATTCTCACATCGAATGGGTACTTCTCATAATTCATAAAGAAAACTTTCCAGAAAGCCTGCCCTGAATCTTCTTAACTATATAAGCTATAGTTCTTATAGAAAAATGCAATAATTTTTCCCTTCTATGTCAACCTGTTGATACTGTCTGACATATTTTGGGTGAGCAGGAATATTTTTAACAAAAAATGGTATCAAAAGTCAAAGATACAAATTATTTCAAACTTTTCAGGTGACAATATGAGGCTGAATCCAACATAAAGAAGTCTACTTATGCACCTGCCTAGGGAGCTGCATGTCCAGTAGGACACCTGGCTTTACAAGTAGCACCGTGTGCTTCTGAATCCAGACAAAATGTGTCACTTTAATTAGCTTTAAAGGTGGTCTCTGCCAGTGGGCTTGGAGTGCTTTTCTTTTACGTAAGGACATCTCAAATGTGACAGCCCCCTGCGGATAAATTCATGAACCTGAAGGACCAAAAAAAGAAAAGAAAAAAATCAAAACCATTCTAAACAATCTGAATCTCTACAAAAGTGTTACATAAAACGATGAACTTGAAACATCACACAAGACATGGCAAACTAAATTAGATTAGAAGATGGCAAAAATACTTAATGAGCTGCCCAGCTCCATTTGCACAAGTTTTTATCCAAGAGAATAGGAAAATGTCATGAAATGTCTTCTGGATTGTTAAGTGAAGGTTGATGGAAGACAGGAAACAGAACTGGGATTTCTCTGCTCCAGCTCTTCATGGACTTCCTGTGCTACCTCAGGCAAGCCCACTTAACCTTGTGTGCCTCTTTTCCTCCAAGAAAATCCTTACTCTAGAAGGGCATGCCCTTCCCTGGGCACTGGTAAATAGAGGATATTCATATCAGAAGAACTGTAAAGCCATTTTAGTTTACATAACACAGGGTATAGCTTCCTATAATGCAGTCTATACCTGAACTGCTACAGCAAGATGCTCCTCAGAGAGCAAAGGAAGAGTCAGCAAAATGGATAGAGTCACTTTATCACAGACTTGCTGTTTCATTATGTAAGCCTGCCTTCATACCTTCCACATAATCAAGCTGAAGAGCATAGAGAAAGTAAGAAGGTCTGTACACTTCACTTCAATAGACGACAAGATTAAGCAAATACACTTTTATATCACTTCACTCTGCCTTACTTTAAGGCCACCTGACATTAATAAATAGCAAGAAATCATAAGAATGAGGCTTGGTTTTCTGCACTGGTCTTTCTCAACCCTGACCATTCTGAATGCAACTTTTCTTCAGCTCAAGTATTAGAACAGGCTCAAACTCACCTGGATTCTCTGAAGCATCACTAGGGCTGCACTCAGTGAAGTCTTCCTTTAAAAATGCCTTGGAAGGTTCCCTCCCATTCCCGAGACACCCAGAGGAACATTATTATACCTCTATCAAACCTACCTGACATCTGCCAGTAAACCTCAAACTTATTAGGGGAAAAGCAAGGGAAGAAGATGGGAGTCAGACACACATACTGCGATGACATAAGCTTTGTTTTGTGAGGCAAACAGGTTGAAAGCAGCTATGTGAAAAAATTCCATTTACACAGTACAAGTAATTTTTCATCATCAATACTTCATTAAAATAGATATATCAATTTGTGAAAGAAAAAGGTGCAAAAAAAGTAAAAAGATAGTGCAGAAGTAGCTAAGCTATTAAATGCTAGCAACCATTTTGCAAGAAATGAGAGGTTTCAGACATACCAGTGGTATTTAGCAAATAGTATACTGAGTGGCAGAAAGTGTTCTCATTTTCAGCACTGTAATCACCCTTAAATCCCAAAATAAATCCTCAGCAACGCACGCTTATTAAGTTCTGTTATTCAACCCATCTCTGTCTTCCACGGTTCCAATACAGGATATGTTTCAGGTAAAACTTAAAACCACAACACTGTGTAGATAGAGCTCTCAATTAGCTCTGTCTTAAACCTCATCTTCCTCCTCCTCTTTGTTCATGTTTCTGATATTGGCACCAGCATAATTTTTAGAACTGGTATAATTTTTTAGAACATCCCGCCTCGCTGCTCTTGCGCCTCCCCCCACATTTGCAACAGGCTTTTCTTCAGAGGGCCAAAAAGATCACTTTCAAATTGAGAAACACCTGGAAACTGCAGATTCCATGACAGTGCCTTGACTACAAGCAGTTCTCACTCAATGTCAAATTCAGAAGTTCACTGGTGAATTTTGAAAGCATCTCCTTTCTCCCCCTCAGCATAAAGCAAATCCTACCTACTCAAAATTTTACATGAATTCTTCTAGATAATTTTATGAAACTGTTGGTTTGTTATTAAATACTTAATATATGAATTAAACACAGCTGCAAGTACAACATTCACCCTACCATAAACAGCTGCTATTTTCTTTAGTTCCAGTTTCCTAACTCCCAATATCACAGGTGTCCAGCTTCTCAGATGCCTTTAGAACTGCCTGCTTATATGACTTGCTGCTTGGGCCGTCTGCTGCGAAGTAATGGTTATTTCTGCCTCTGTTTTGACCAAGTGAATCATCTTCGACTGGGATTTTGGCTCAACAAAATGATTCCATATGTGCAGGAGTCTTGATGAGCACAGCTCTAGAAGGCTGAAGACAAAATTCTCAGTACATAGGTCACTCTAAAAACAATGCCTCCTATTTACTTCCATGGAAACTACAACGCATACAAAGAGCACAATAACACTGCTTGACAGAGCAAATTCTCAGCTACAAAACACTTTTCAACACAGTCACCACCATTAGCCATGCATTCTCACCAGCGATGAACGAGAGTCTGCACTGGACTCATCAAAATTTGCGACCCACTGTTTCACACCTGCTTTGACATCATCATTGCTAGTGAAACATTTCCCATCCGGTCTATGTTTCACTGGCCCAAATAGGAGCAAAAAGCTGCTACATACAATGGTTGTGATAGGACAGTCCAGACAAGATCACAGTGTGTTCTACCATCTTCCGACTGGCATGGGGGCCAGAAACATGGTGTTACAGGAGAAAGGTAGTCTTCTCTGGCCTAACTCCGCAAGTCAGAGCCTTCAGCTTAGTCAGCATTACAATGAAGTGGTCAGAATTGACGGTAGGGGTTCCAGGAAACCCAGGATTGCCCCCTTCCTATCCCAAAAGGCAGTGCATATCACTTTATCTGCTGAGGGCTCCATCTTGAACTTTTTCTGTAATGAGGAATTTGCATGTTGCCACTCCACGGACTGCCATTTTGACTGTGACATGTACTGGAGATACTACGTCTCACCACTGGTAATGATTAGATGTAGGAAACTGTCCCCTCTAGCCTAGCATCGGTTCACTAGATCCTGAGGAACAGACAGAACAGCGTATGCAAGTTTCTGTGCAAGCATTCATTATACTCATCCATTCATTTGGACTCAGCTTCGCAATATTCTAACATTGCCACCATCACTTCCAGTGCACTGAAGCCAAGTTCCCTCTTGTAATCTACCAATCTGCATTGATTAACTGATCAAGACACTCTTCATTTTGTGGTGTAACAGCTGTGCATGTCTACACAGAACATCACTTGTCTTTCACATTGCTGTTGCCACTGCTGAAATGCATCACTCAGCACTTCACTGTGCTCACATCCACTGTCTGATCTCCACAAATACTCAGCAAGCATCAATGAAGGGCAACAGATACCTTTTTTTTTTTCCCCCCCCACATGGGGGAATTCAGTTCCACACCCCTGCTTCACCCACACTTCCATGTCGGGCATTCTGTCAGATTGCCTGTCTGCTGCCATCTGTGGCATAGCAACAAAATGTAAGGGAATACTAGTGGGAACGTTCACCTTCTCCTGCTCTACCACAACCATTTGAAGTCAGGGGCCAACATAAAATAGAACGCATTACTTCTGGTGCAACTCTCGCAACTGCTCTTAGAGACATTAGTGCTCTGCAGCACACTGTTTGCCTCCACCAACTCAGGAAGAGTGTGACACTGACTGTAGTGAAAGCAGAGCACTTCCCTGACTCAGAAAAGCATCCATTACATAATAACCTATGTCACAGACCTGGAAGATTTGCATACAGACTTGGAATATTTGAGCATACAGCTTAGGTGCTTAGAAAAATTTATCACAAGAGGCAGAACCACAGAATGACCCAGGCTGGAAGGGACCTCAAGGATCATGAATCTCCAACCCCCCCCACCCATAGGCAGGGCCACCAATCTCCCCATTTAATACTAGACCAGGCTGCCCAGGGCCCCATCCATCCTGGCCTTGAACACCTCCAGGGATGGGGCATCCACAACCTCTCTGGGCAGCCTGTTCCAGCACCTCACCACTCTCACAGTAAAGAACTTCCCCTGACATCCAACCTAAATCTTCCCTCCCTCAACTTCAAACCATTTCCCCTTGTCCTGCTGTTATTTACCCTTTCAAAGAGTTGATTCCCCTCCTGTTTACAGGCTCCCTTTAGGTACTTAAAGGCTACAATTAGATCACCCTGTAGCCTTCTTCTCTCCAGGCTGAAACCTGCACTAAACCAACACTGCCCTGATCAGCTACCGAATGCTGGGTCTCTGACACTGGAGTGAGGTCAGTATCTGCATGCGACCCCAGAGGGCAAGAGGGCTATATATGCTTTGAGGTGCTTGTGTGCATTGCATTACATGCTCTCATCCTCACTGTATGTATACTCTTGAAAGACAAAGCTTGGCCAAACATTAACGTTGACAGCAATACTCAAAGGTAGTCTTCCTTTACAATGACTATTTCTTTGTTAAAAGCTCTTGGAGGAAGACCTGCTTACTCACTTATTTGTTGGGACTGACAAATTTTTCAATTTGTTTCCCACAAATCCTTATTCCATTAAATTTGCAACCCCCAGTAGAAGCTATCTGGAAAATGTGAAGCAGAATAAAAACCTGCAGAAAGCTACAAGCAACTGGAAGTAAAGGTTTGAAGGAAACCACCTACAAATCTTGAATGAAAGTTTTCAACAGCACTTCAGCCTAACCTAATTCCTACAGCATCCTTAGATTATCTTGGCTCATAATAATCCTCTGAAAATCATTTTTAACAAGAACTGACTGTTTGCCTTGGAATCACAGCTAAGGAAGTTTGTGTCCTTCAGCCCACTGATACCATCAAGCACTAACACCCAGGAGTTTGTGTGAACGTTCCAGAGACCGCACATACTGCATCTACCTCAAATGTTCAGAGCACATAACAGTGTAGTAAAGATTTATGATCCACTGAAGTAAGCAAACAACTCTGCTGACAAGTTTCTTATTTACTACAGTGGGCACTTAAAGCAAGTACTTTGTCTACACCACTGTTTAACCAACTGTTGAAGTTAAAACACTCTTTTTCTCCTAAATTGTGTCAAGTGTTAACTCTAATGTAACTGGACTAAATCCAGGTTTCAGCTAGCACAGATGTCATGCCCATTTACTCTATATTCTGCTGTCGATCTAATGACAGTT